TTAACAAACTGGCAATCGTGGCACTGGCATTTCCTCTGCCTCTCCTTTCTGTAGGTCCTGCTAGTAATGCATCACTTGTCATTGGATGTGTCGTAGGCGTGGCCATGCCTTTATTCCCCGGAAAACTAGGAACGACTAGAATCCTGGCCTTGGCCTTATTACTTGGCCCTCCTCTACACCAGACCGAAGTGTTGTTATCCGATATTTGAACATCGTAAATTTCGAGCGTATGTTTGTCCTCGCTGAAAGTGTATCGTTGTTCTTGTACGATATAAGGTGCTGCTTCCCACTCGTATAATAATGATCGGGTTGATTCGTGTCCGGCGCTGTCGTATACAAGACACGAGAATGTCGCTGTTGACCCAAGCATCACCTCTTGTACAGGCGGATTGATCACTGCCTGGAGGGACGCCATTTTCACCGCTATCTGTTGGACAATGTTCTCTAAAATGATACTTCCGTTCGAACTAAATCCCTGAAATCCAGTCCTGGTTTCTGCGCTGCTCTGTCCATAGAATTGCAAACTATCTCAGAGCAAAAAGCAAGTATTATGCCGACTACGAAATCGACATGCAGAGTTAATGTTCAATTATGGTTGGCCGGTTACGTTTCAAATTTCCAATGAGAAGGCTGACAAACTATGCATAAAGTAAAGGAAAATGTTCACGTAATTGTTGTACTTATGTTAACTTCGAAACACATTTTCCAACGAAAGGTTCACGGATCTGAGCTACAACACGATACATCGTCCAAGACTTCTAATCAAGTCCCTCTAAATGTCTGGAAGTCGTAAAATAATCGCTCAAACAACGGGAAGAATCCAGCACGAAAGTGACTAATCACCGAGCTTGAGCCCTCTCCCCAAACGACTTCTCCTCTCTGCTATGATCCAGCAAGTGTTCACTCTCTCGCTCTCTGATTTCGAATGAAGCAGGCGACAGCCGAGTCCTAGAATATGTACTTGAATCACGATGATCAACCAGTAGCTAAGGTGACGCACTCGCAAAGCTTTCCCGTGTTCTGCAGATGAGGACGAAGCGACACCTGTTAAATACCCCAGTCTCTTGCCGTCAGGCCCTTTCAGTTTACGTTCGATCAAGGAAGGAGTGCTTGTTCATAGTGATTCAACAACTTGTATTACTTGTAGCCTGACAAGATGGAACATGTCGAACAAGAGAGGGCGCATATCATTGTGAAGAGAGGATGATGTTGCTCAAACTTGCATTTGCTTGCTTTTGTGTAGCTCTGTTGTTTTAGTCATACAGTGGCGTATTTAGTCGGCGCCCCTCCAAATTCGAAAGCCATAGAAAAATATTTACATCGATAAATTGATTACATTATTATATAAAGTTTTGAATATACGATATAACTTACAGTGGGTACGTAGTAGGTCTACGGTGTGCGGCAGTGGGCTGCATTCTTTTTTCTTTCTTTTTTATAAATATGGATACGGTTGGTGTATTGTATACATTTTGAGGGAGAATTTCTATTGAATAAATAAAATTTACTGATGAATATATGGGCCTAGGTCCATGATGAAACAGATAGTCACATGATATATATAATTATACATAATGGAAGTTCAAAGGAGGCTATAGAAGAACCATTAAAAGTCTGGAACCTATGTCTGGAATTTGTAGACAGGAAAGCAATACAGTCATGGGACTCACTTATTGTTTTGTTTGTCTTGCAAGTAGGCCTATATCCTTGTCTATCGTCTTTAAGAATGGCATAGAAGGAAAGAGAGATCGAGAAAGAGGGTGATAGGGGAGGGGAATGGTAGAGAGAGAGAGAGAGAGTAGTAGAGAGAGATAGAGTGGAAGAGAGAGCTAAACAGACGGAGAGAAAGAGAGAGGGGGATAGAGGAAGAGAAAGAGGGAGAGAAAAAAAAGAGAGAGAAAAAGGGAGAGGGGAGAGGGAATAGAGAGAAAGACAGAGAGAGGGAGGGATAGAGAGAGAGAGAGAGAGAGAGAGAGAGAGAGAGAGAGAGACAGAGAGTAGAGGCTTAGAGGGAGGAATGGAAGAAAAGAAATGATTACAAAAATAGAGTGAGAACAATGAAGGAAAATTGACTTACAGAGAACAAAACAACAAAAAAATCGGAAGGGAGAGAGGGTGGATATAGAGGATGATACAAATTGAAACAATGATATCACAAATTTATCCCAACAAGTGAAACTACTGTAATCAGTGAAAAACAATTTCACTCTATTAGTTTCCCACGCGAGGGCATGCCCCCCAAAGATAATATTTATATATCATGGGATGACTCGTAACAAAAGGTCATGAACAGGGCTAGTGTCACACGGAAATCCGATGTTTTGTGCCATCTTCTTTTGGCAGTGGTATCGTGGTCTAGTTTAAAAGTATTTATTCAACTAAATGTCAAATAAGGTTATTCAACAAAATACTTGCAGGAGTGAAAATATAAATGTGTACGGTTTTTTCTTCTTCTGAATACTAAGCCAGTAGATTAATTCAGTGAACCTAAACGCAACCAGTCCATTTTATAAGTAGGTTCACTTTTCATTTCTGTTTTAAATGATTTATAAAAAATTATCAAATGTTATAAATTCCTATGATTCCGGATTAATTATTTCCATACAACTTACAGATATGAGAATGTATCATACTTTGCTATTTTTTGCATGGAATATTTATAAAAGCAACCAATTAATCAATATCACACACAACACTAAGTTTGACAGCAACGTTCATGCATGCGTTAGGAGTGAGCGGTTATGCGAGCAGGTAGTGTATACTATATCCTCGGTTTTTTGCAGGTATCAGGGGCGGATCTAGGGGGGTTTCGGTGGTTTAAATCCCCCCTCCTTGGGCGGCCAAGTGAAGAAAAAAAAAAGGGGGGGGGAGAAGAAAAAAAGTAAAACAGTAAAACGGCGCGATTTTTGAAAAATCCTGGATCCGCCACTGGGTCACCCCCCCCCCCCCCCCTTGGCAAAAAGCTAGATCCGCCCCTGGGTGTTAACATTGTGTGGAAACGGAACGTTGGACTAATAAGGTTCTGAAATTGTGTAAATGTACCTGCGAACATTTGTAGTATTTGTTAAGGCAGGTGAACAACGTACAGATTCAACGCTGCGAAATATGATCAAAATTAAACGATGCTTACCATTAATCAAAACCCACTTCGTTAACCAATTTAAAAAAAAAGTAATATATACAGTGCGTCCCAGAAAAAACGAAACCGAGAATTATCGATGTTTTATCATAACTAAATCACAATTATAATTGATAAATGACACATATTTGTAAAGCTTAGATCCTATGAGTTGCATCAAATGAAAGAAGAGGATCTAAGCTTTCCAAATATGTGTCATTTATTAATTATAAATGTGACTAAGTTATGATAAAACATCGATAATTCTCGGTTTCGTTTTTTCTGGGACGCACTGTATAATAAATTTCAGTTAAATTGTATCAAAATGTGAAAGAGGATGTCATTTAAGACACACTTCAGTCTGCAAAGGTCCCCCCTCAGGAAAACACCTTTAGAGTACCTTTTACAATATAAGGTCCATTTATATAGCGCAGCTACTACATGAATATACTCTACTGCGCTGAATACAAGGTATCATATCATTACCCCGTCTGTGGCTGAGCTGCCACAATAAGGCGCTAAAGCATTCAATGAGTAGAATGTAAAATTAAAAATGGGTAAAATGTAATAAACTGCTAGATATTTGGTATTTGACCTTTCATCCTTATGCAATTGTATTATAGTTTTGTTTGTAATCAGCTTCAAATGTGACATTTCAAATTTGTTTGTTTATTCTATTTATTGTTTATTTGTTTATTCTATTTGTGATTAGCTTTTCAGCTTTTAGCATCTGACAAGCACCCGTCCCCCTATTCAATTAGGGGAAACAGTCCTTTATTAATCGGGCATAATCTTCAAAGAATTCTTCATCCGCTTAATCGCATTATTTTCACCTTTTGAATGGGCATTTAATTTGTGTCGAGTACGATGATTTCGGATTTAATTTTGTTTAATTTCCATTTTTTACCATTAACAATTGTACAGAATGACGTTGGCCAATTTGCTCAACAACCAGCCTCTTTCTCTCTCTCTCTCCCTCTCTGGATGTGTGTGAATCTTCTTTTTCTCTCTCTCTCTCTCTCTCTCTCTCTCTCTCTATATATATATCTCTCTCCCTCTCTTTCTTTCTCTTTCTTTCATTTATATATCTCTCTCCCTTTCTCACATTCTCTTTCTCTCACATCTCTCTCTCTCTCTCTCGCTCTCTCTCTCTATCTCTCTCTCTCTCTCTCTCTCTCTCTCTATATATATATAAATATATATCTCCCTCTCTCTGTATCCCTCTCTTTCTTTCTCTCTCTTTCATTTCTCTATCTCTCTCCCTTCTCACATTATCTTTCTCTTTCTCTCCCATTTTCTTTCTTCCTCTCTTTCACTCACCAGCTGTTTCACTCTCTCTCCTTCCCCCTTTCTCATGTCAGTCCATTGCGCTTCTTATCTTGGGGGGGGGGGGGGTATTAAAAAAAATATACCTAATAATATGTTAATATATATGAAGCAATAAACCTCTCGGTAAGAATATACCACCATCAGAAATGTCATTCTACCAAATGAAACGATTCGTTAACATTATTTAGCTACATAATATAATTGTTTCACTCATCGTAACAAACATGCTGCTACTATTACAAGGGCGCATTCTGGCTCAGTTTCATTTTCTACTTTAATTTATTCGTTTATAATAAATATGATACATTACTTTCGATCTTACATGAGCATGTTGAAGCTGTAGTTATCAAGTAGCCATTTATGAAGAACATGGCCATTACATTATATTAATGGCACTAAATAGAGCTATCCAGTGGACTTGCCCATTCTTGATGTGTTAATTTGTTTATATTCCATTTTCTATGGTGATATAATAACTCGCCATTTCGATTTGCAATACACTGTCTATTGCATCCGTTTAAAGCAATTAATAGTGGGCTTGTTTTTCTTGTTAATGCACAGGTAAATACATCGTTTTGCTATTAGTGAAACATTATTTATTATACTTTGCGGGTGATATATATATATATATATATGCATCAATTATGAAACATATTTATTGTATCGTCAATGGAATATGTTTTGTGACCGGAAAAGTATCAATAAAACATCATTGATTTTTTTTACGAGTTCATATTTGTGCATATACTTGAATTAGTATAAGGAAAATAAAAACAAACTGTACAGACCATTTTACCTGCATCGCAGAGTATCCAGTGTATTTGTAAACTACAAGCTTTACATCTTATGATTTCTATAAGGATACAAAAAAAAAGAACAAAACAAAACTTAACAAAATGTACAGACGGTTTTACATAAATCAAAGAGTTTCAGTGTGTAATTTTCTGCTACTGGCTTTCATTATTCAAAACAAATCTTGAGGTTATGATTTATTGAGGCCTGCTCATACCATTGGCTTTCATAGTTTAAAAAAAATATCAATATTATACTCTACATAGACCTCTTCTGCGACTGTTTTTTGTTGTTGATTAGTTTATGAGGTATTTTAAGGTATTTTTTGAGGTTATGATCTACTTCTTCTGCTTGAGCGAGTCAGGGATGATGTGTGGGACGATGGTGTCACAGAAGGCATCTCCCGTAGGGTCCACGAAATACTTCTTGGCGTAGTCCAGGCGAAGTTTGCTGGTGGCGTAGCGTAGATGGGGTTTCTCATCTTCAAGGGCTCCTGGTTCCCAGAAAAAAAGCAAAAAGGGAAATGTTAGGAAATATAATATATCGTCTTCCTTGTATTGCTCTATTGTTTTACATTAATCAAATTACATGTTAAGTTTGCATATTTTTGTACAGACAGAACCCCTCGGAAGGGCAATACTCATTATTGAAAACGCTTTCTGTATAATATTTGAATAAATAATTGTATAAGTGATAAGCATAAGTACGACCCCTTTAAACAAATTATGTCTGCAAATCCAAAATCCAAAATTAGTTTCAATTTTCAAATCGAAAACATTCCTGAAATGAGAATCCAAGTGCATGTTTCTTTTCAATTTGTTCATAGAATCTATTTCGACGGCAGAAATTTTGCCCGACTTCCTTCTCATTTCATGAAAATGGTTATCAATGTATAAGTTACTACATAAACTACTAAAACCATTGTATTTGATTGGCGAAGACTAAATTGGTCATAGAATATTAGCATAGGCCCCTAGTCTAAGGAACCCTAATGAAAGCCCCTCTCCCTCCCCTCCCCGAACCCCGAACTATTCCCGTACCTTTGATGACGCTGGCGATTTCTTCGGGTGTTTGTTGCTCTTCATCATGGGTTGGACTGTTAATAAGTAGCTTGAAGATCTTTCCACACACTTCTTTGGACTCTTTGTCGATGTTCTTCTCTTCAGTGAGCTTAAGAAATTCGGGTTGGTTGTTGGCTGATCCCATGTTGGCAATGAAAGCAGTCTTCACTGGACCCGGTTGGCAGCTGCTTACCCTGTAAAAACCAACGTCAGAAGAAATATCATTCTAATATGATTTTATTTTATTTTATTTTATTGTTTTATTCATCACTATAGGGTTGGATTGCCCTTGTGGGCTTATAGATGTTTTTCAAAGTGGTCCAAGCCCAAAGACGAAAAAAAAAAACAGGACCAAACAAATACACTTATTACAAACGCTCATAAAATATAAATCATGTGCAAAGTAACACAGTAGCTGTCATATTTCAGCAAAACAAACTATATAAAAAAAAAAAACAACACGATCGAAGCTATTTTTGAAAAATCAACCTAATTGGATATACAATAGGGTATTGAAATTGCTCTTAAGTTGACTTTTCGAGAAGAAAAAAATTAAGATCGTGTTAAATACACAGATGATTGTAAAGAGTCAAACAACAAAAATAACAAAACAGTACAAACAAATTCCTAAGAAAAAGAGAAAGAGTGGGTGAGAGAAAATCTATATATTGAGAGTATACAATTTTAGCGTGTTTACATATATCTTTTATTGACTCAATCATCAACATAGTTACTCATATAGTGAACGAATGAATAAGACGTTCACTAATGACATAAACTATGAATGCGAGAAGCGTATAGCCAGTTTGGGGGGATTTAAGAAAACTTGTTCTCTGTCGCTTTATATTAGAGACTTATTATTACTAGTGAGGCTATGAGAAATCCATTGTTTTTTTTGTCATAGCCTATAATATGGTACCGATGTTTCAGTATTTTTAACAAGAATGTAATGTAAAGGTAGTTGAATTGTGTTTAAAAACTCCTACATTGTGTAAACCTTAATGAGGTATCGTTATGTTCAAAGTCCAAATATACATGGGTTGTTAAGGCTGATTGGTTGGAAGGTACCTCTTTTAGCAGTTGAGTGTAATGTCATGGTAGTTAAAAGGAGCAGTTTTAGTGTAAAGCAGTTGAGTGTAATGTCATGGTAGTTAAAAGGAGCAGTTTTAGTGTAAAAAGGGCACACTTTTTATATATAGAGATGGGACATTTGATAACTTTAAAAACGAGCACGATTATATTTCTTATTTAAAGGGACACAGTCCGTTTTAATGAAATTTGGGGCATTGAGCGCCCTGCCCCCTAGCTCCCCTGCCTTCATTGTGGTGGTAGAAAAGGGCTCTTTTTACTACACAAACTGCTCCGACTTTAAAAAACTAGATGTGGCTTTTTAGATGACCGAAAAAGGGTACAGCATTTTTTGAAAGCGACAGCGGGCAAAATATGTAGGTAAAATGGGGTACTTATCAAAGGGAATTACTTTAAAAGTAAGAGGAGGAAAGTATCATACTTGAAAAAGAGCACAAATTGGACATGAAAAGAGACACTTCTTAGAAGGGCAAAATGTACTTAGAACAAAGAAAATCGGGCACTTGTCAGATTTGGATAGGGACAATTATCAGAGTCGAAAAGGGACAGATATAAGAAAGGGGAAGTGGCAAGAGGAAAAGGAGGACTTATCAGTAGGGAAAAGGGCACTTGTTAGAAATGAAATGGTGTATATGTTAAAGTATTAAAAGTGGCAATTATCAGAGGTAGAAAAGGCACCTCTCGCGCTGAAATAGGGCACTAATAAGAAGGGAAAAGGAGCATTCATAAAAAAGAAAAATGGGCACCTATGAGAATAGAATAGGGGTACTTTTCATAGGTTAAAAGAGGCAAAGTTATGAGAATGGGGAATGGGCACTTGTTATAAAGAAAAAGTGGCACTTATCTGAATGTTTAAAAGAGACACTTTTAGGGTACTCGAATAAGTGGCCCTTATGCCCCCCCCCCCCACCCCCACCTCGCCCTCACTAGGAGCGCCGCCTCTGCTCTCCATCCAGCTAGGGTAATGATAATTACAGGGCCTTCAGGAAGAACATCACAGAAGCTGACAATGCTTCTCTGGGTATACAAAGTTTAATATTATTATTAACTTACCAGATATTGAATGGTCTGTAGCCAATGGAAAGTGACTCGGTGAAACCTTCAAGTGCGAATTTGGAGGCAGCGTAGATCTCCCCAAAAGGCCAGGCTATATTATGAAACAGAATTTTTACAATTCAAAGAATAAGGGCTTTCATTTTATCTTAACAATTTTTAAAAATAAATCTGATAAATTACAGAACCATTTGCAGAGCGTAATCAGGCGGTGTGTCGGTGAGGGGTGGAATGTTCATCTAGCCTTGTCGGCAAATCGCAGAAGTTGATACACCTTTTTTTTTATTTGGTCTGACATCAGCCCTCCCCGACCTCCCCGAATCCACTCAGTCTTAGTGTGACTTAAATGAGTGTCTGAAGTGTGATACACCACTTCATATACACTGTGCTCGCCAGGGTCTGACAGAAGAGATAGGTTCAACTCAATACTCTATGGAATTGGGTGTAAATTATTAATCAGACTTTATAATGTTTATGCTTGTATTCTTGGCATTTGAAACCAGTTTTGTCACTGCTGTTCTTTTGGTTACCGTGTATGAATAAATACAAATAAATAAATGTCAAATGAGCATCTAGTGACTAGTGTAATCATTCTATACCTGTTATACCGCCCACACTGCTAACGCTGATGATGCGACCTGAACGTTGCTTCTTCATGATGGGAAGTACTTCTTGGGTCAAATGCACCACGCCGAAGAAGTTGACATCGAACAAGGCACGCATCTGTTGATCGGTGACCAGTTCGATGTAGCCTGATGAGCCATGGCCTGCGTTATTAACTGTAGATGAGAATAAGGTAAAGCCGGGCGTTACACAAGGGTTGTCATTTCGATTACGTCGGTACGAAATATATATATATATATATATATATTTTTTTTTTTTTTTTTAAAGCGTTTTTTCTAAAACTTTAGAAACTACATTAAATTTTGGTCTGACGTTACATAGTAATACTGATGATTCAACATTTTGGCGCTTGAGGACACTTGCACTTGCACACACACGCACCACTTGCACCCTTGTTTTTGTTTAGTTTCTCTCTTATCTCTGTCATTAACGTATAATTAGTAGCCATATAAATATGAGATTCATATGCCAATTCTATAATTATTTATATTGAATACAACTGTCTATATTCACATTTAATTGTAATATATATCATTTGAGTATCATGGCCCCTCTTCTTGTTAATTTGCCAATATTTCACATCTCATTTTTATTTTAGCTCGGTTGACCGTCTACTCAAGCTTTTGCTTATAACGGCGACCTTCTGCTTTCTTTCTTTATACACGCAATGGCCCAACGTATAAGTTTATTCTTACTCATGTATTATACATTTGTTTCTATATTTTGTATATTGTTTGCATACCTTATGTTTTATATAATTATCCATATTTGTTGTATAACTGATTTGTTTGATTGCAGAAAATAAAGTCTTTGAAATGGAAATGGAAATGGTATTAACATGTACACTCTAATCGAGTCCGTGCAGACAATTAGCCCATACATCAGCTGTACATAGGTCTACTCTATCTAATAAAAAGAATCGTTAAAAATGCCTATTTGCAATCTCTTTTTCTTGTATGATGTCACTCTGACATTGCGCGTCAAAGACCCCCAGCAGTCACTGACGCAGCCCTGAGCCAGATAAATGACACATCGTGTGCAACGGGCTTAATATAAGTGGTAACGTGCTCATTTGTAAAAGCGTAACCGAAGGAAGTGGAGCGCAGCCACCCTTTCCATTCACCGACCTCTTAGTACCCACTTATCTATTTTTTAATATACTTGTGCAGCACTCATTTTCGCTTACTCACTATGTGACTTTTGACTTTTTAAAAGCAAACAAAGTGTCGTTTTATACCGCGTATCACAAGGCACATAATGACCAACGATAAATTTACTTGACAAAGAAAGTTTGATCGACAGGTCAATTTAGTATGAAATCCAAATCAAATATTGGGATTCGGTGCAATTGGAAAAAGTTGCTTCTTGAATATTCTCGGCAAATATGTTACTTTACCCAAGGTGGATCAAGCAATTTGATATGGAGAGGGGGTTAAATAGGAAGCGTACATTATGACATTCTTTGTTCTTCGCAACTGGTTGATGTGTATATTGTAGGAGATTACTGAAAATGTCAAATACGATGTCCATCTTCTGCGCCCCCCCCCCCTCCCTTAACCAGCAGGTTTGTAAAAGGGGGCCAAGTTCCAGCAACAAATCTGAAAAGAAAGTTATCAGAATTTCCAGGTGCCCTTTGGCAAAGTTTGGTTTATTTTACTTTTGTAAGGTATGCCACAATGGTATTAAAAGGGGATACAAGCCCACCCTACCTTACAGTCAGTAGTGCTCCCCTTCCCCCAAGGTCCGCCCCTATATATACATAATATGCTGAACTAACCTAGAATGTCAATACGCTTGTGCTTTGTGAAGACATCTTTGACAGCTCGCTTAATGGAATCGCCTCTGGTCACATCAAGCTGGGTGATGAAGAGTGTCTTGTTCAGCGTAGCCCCCGCTGCTTTTTCCAGGTCGCCCTTCTTGGCCAGGTTCCTCATAGTGGCGTAGACAATGTAGCCCTTGGAGGGGTCCTTAGCCATCATGACAGCGGTGGAAAGACCGATGCCAGAGGAACATCCAGTGATGATTGCTACGCGTGGTGCCATCTTGGTTTCTGAGGAATCGCAAAGAAAAAAATTAACAGGAAATAAACTCAATAATGTTAGTAGTAAGATCCCAATAAAAGTGTAACATCTCGTTTGTTATTTTCTCCAGATATGAACGAGACGAAGTGTGTTCAGTTCATAATAAGTCACATGATCAGAAACAATAGCTTATCCAAGAATTAATAAATAATAAAAGGGATGAATTCACCCGACCCGACTTGACCCTACGATTGTTTCGCCGCTGAAATTGTTGAATCATTAACCAAGCTGTATATATTTGTACAAACTCCATGATCGTACTTGAAGGAGGCTACGGGCAGTTTGCATGCCCCACCCCTGAGAGATTTCCAACCATGAAAAATAAAGAAATATATTTCCTCTATATTTTCCTCCATTGATGTGAATTGGGATCGGATTATATTGCCCAAGAGTTAATCTTGTAAGATGGTGACATAGATTGATTACTATTGAGAGACAGAGCATAGCATTTCAGATGAATTACACCATGAAGATATAACATTAATATTTCATAACATTGATAGAATTCCATAGCAAGTCTGATAGTGACTGTATTATGTAATGTATTGTACCAAAATCATCTGTATCATACAGTCAAACCTGTCTTTAAATAGTGGCTACCTCTCTATACAGGCCAACCGTCTATAGTGGCAAGGTATTTTGTCTCCCTTGAGAAAGAAATATGTGTTGAAGAACCTGTCTAGAGAGTCCACCTGCCTACAGTGGCCACTTTTTCTGTTTCCCTTAGTGACCTTTATAAACTGGTTTGACTGTATATATATTTTTTTCTTCAATGAAAATCTAAATTTGAATCAGAATCTGAAGTATATTTGTTCAACAAATTCTTCGACCAGCAGGAGGCCCGACCTTAACAAATGAAATTCATGGCCTTTATCATTAATCTTTGTCATTTTGTAGTTAACTATTAACGAATCATAATGAGATATATTTATTTTATTAAATAATTGTTATAATCAATGTAAAAAAATAAATTGAGAGCTGCAGACACACAAGATACTGGCTCACGCCATAAGCCTTTAATTTAGGCATTGTTTGATTATATTGATATGATACACATACATGTAGTTGTACATAATCATACATAAATCATCAATTAAATATCAAATAAATATACATGAATGCATCGTCGTAATTCCAACAAAGAAGGCCGAGTGATAGAATTCAATATTTTGACAACGACATTAATTTTGTCGGTATTTTTATACACAGTAAATATAGATCTCTCCAAAATCCAGAGCCACATCATCATCATGCCAACAATGTATCTCTCCCATACACATAGCGTTATTGATAATGTATTCTTACCTGTTTTGAGAGCGATGTTTTAAAAATAAACTATAATCAGCATCAATCGAAAAACACGACTGATTCAGAACACAGGCAGGAGCAGAGTGAAGAGTGTTGTACACCTTTCATGAATATATATATACAATTTTTTCGCAATTCAAGATAGGGGAGAGAAAAAAAGAAGGGTCAATAGAGGATAATAATTACACTGGTATGAAAACAAATGATGCGGTGCAAACAGCGCATAAAGGTGAAGTTGACTTTGAGACGGCTAGTGCACAGAGGGGAGGTGGCTAATTTCATGCCAGCATTTAACATTTCTAATGAATAGCAATTTTTTTTGCATTTACTTGTTGAACATGTATCGAAATGAGTGATAATTATTTGGTAAGGTTTTGAAACAAAATTAGTTTCTTTGAAATTAATTAATTTCTTCCTATTTTGAATAGTCTAAACAAATTCAGTCTGATTTATAGTTATATAGGTCATAATTTGGTTGTTTTAAATTCGTGCTATTACTTAACTTTATATCTTACTTTAGAATTTATTTTAGATAAATAAATAAATATATATATATATATATATATATATATATATATTAGGTAGTATCTATACAACACATAACAATAGGTAAACATAAAAGGAAAAACGGGACCGTAAAATAGCATGAATGCGAATCAAGTCATGTTCGCGTCAGAGCCAGGGTTTAGATTGATATAGATTAGATTGATAGATTATATTGATATCTCCATCTAGAGTAGCTCAAGCTGAAAGGTGGCGTCACATTTCGGGCCATAGCCCCCCCCCCCCCAATCCAGGAACGGAGGGACAGCATGCGTGTTCCCAAATCTCCGGCTCGTAACAAAATAAAAAGGTCTACCCGTATTGACCGTAGTGGAGGGGGGCTGGCCTTCAAGCTCTTAATTCGTCATGATTTTCCTTTCCTTTTCTTTTATCCTTATCGTTTCGTTTTGGTGCTGGAAAAGCTCGTATAACAAAAGAAAAAGGTCTACCCGTATTAACTTTACACACCGGAGTTATGCTGAAAAGGGGGGGGGGGGGGTGCTGAAAAGGCTCGTATAACAAAAGAAAAAGGTTTACCCGTATTGACTTTACACACCGGACTTATGCTGAAAGGGGGGGGGGGGGTGCTGGGAACACGCATATGCGTACCCTAAGTCTTTATGAAATGCTTTCCGTTGAAAGGCTGCTGAACAAAAGGATGAATGGTGGTTACCCTTTCCATCCTAAGTATTACGATGAAAAGGTAACCACCTTTCCATCGTAATACTTAGGTTAATTCAGGGATACATGCAGGCACGCATGCAGCGACCACCAGTCACTACGGTGACACGACATTTGCTCCTGCGACAATTGCTCCGGGCTTTATTTCGTCTAAGATGTGGGGTTAGGGTTAGGGTTTCAATAGGGTTTTATGTTAGGTTTAGGGTTAGGTTTAGGGTAGGGTATAGTGTTGAATCCAGGGTTGAAGTTAGCCATTCGATTAGTGTATGAAATTTACAGCGGAGCAATTGTCGCCGGAGCAAATGTCATGGAATCGTCACTACAGCTGAAGGAGTCCCATTGTGTCCAAGATTCTGATTCAGAGCCTATACTTACACAATACAATCAGTACACATACTCCACTGACTTTCGCAATAACCATGCGATTGCAATTTTTAGCGATCTTAAAATTTCGAGAACATTCTCTGCTCAAAGAAAACAAATAACTGCAGTCACCTAAAATGTAAGCGAAAGGTTGGCCTAACAGCATGATGGGGCATCAGAAAATCCATTCATTGTGATGTGATGTCATATAATATCAATATTATCATGTGATGTGATGTGATATGATATGATGTGACGTGACAAGATGTGATGTGATATGATATGATGTGACGTGACAAGATGTGATGTGATATGATATGATGTGACGTGACAAGATGTGATGTGATATGATATGATGTGACGTGACAAGATGTGTTGTGATATGATATGATGTGACGTGACAAGATATGATGTGATATGATATGACGTGACGTGACAAGATGTGATGTGATAGGATGTGATGTGACGTGACAAGATGTGTTGTGATATGATATGATGTGACGTGACAAGATATGATGTGATATGATATGACGTGACGTGACAAGATGTGATGTGATAGGATGTGATGTGACGTGACAAGATGTGTTGTGATATGATATGATGTGACGTGACAAGATGTGATGTGATAGGATGTGATGTGACGTGACAAGATGTGATGTGATATGATATGACGTGACGTGACAAGATGTGATGTGATAGGATGTGATGTGACGTGACAAGATGTGATGTGATATGATATGACGTGACGTGACAAGATGTGATGTGATAGGATGTGATGTGACGTGACAAGATGTGATGTGATAGGATGTGATGTGACGTGATGGCCGGATGCGTATCAGGAAAGTTATCCCTGGACAACCACTTCCGAGGACAATCACCCCCTCCTACAAATTAACCCCTAGGACAATTCCCCCAAGGAAAATAATCCCCCTAAGACAATTGCCAAAAGACAATCTATCATTTACGAGCCCCCCCCCACCCGCTTTCCCACACACACCACATACACTTTGGGTGATTGTACAGGGGTAATTGTCTGAAAACCGATGATGTGATGTGATGACGTAATGTAACTTTTTGGTTAGTAATTAATTAAATGTAGGTAGGTACAGAATGTAAGAAAGCTCCACATATTTTTGCTTGAGGTTTAGGAGTTTATTCTTGCAGCTAAAAGCATCATCCTTAGGCTGTGCATGCTAGTGGTCAAGTGCAACAAATCACATGTACAGTACATACAACAGTGCATAGCCAATTAACTCATATATACATCACACACTCTGTGTGCAAAGAGTCTGCATGGTTGCTTCATAGTAATATATAATTATATGCATGACTGTTTCATAATGAGCACATAAAATTATGTTCAAATTAGGAGTGCTGTATAACTTCATCTCATAACATTACAGTAATGTGATGTGGAAGGATGCGATGTAATGTGATGTGATATGGAATGATATTATATAGTATTTTGTAATGTCATGTGATACGATGTGATAAGATACGAAATTATGAGATCTGGAAGGAATTGGTCCTGGGAGCTGAAAGTGACCAAGCTTGAGAACAAAAATAATACTTTGATTTACAATAGTACAAGGGAGCTTTCAATCATAATCTAACATAATATTTTCGAAAACATCTTTCTCTCTTTCATTGTATGCGTGGTTTTCTTTTTTGCGTCCCTCTCTTTTGGCGTTGTTGCACCCCCCCCCCTTTTTTTTTTATTGTCACAGGAACACGTGTGCCTTTTGCATCCCATATAAACGCCACTGATTTTCGCAATAACCATGACATTGCAATTTTCAGCGATCTTGAGATTTCTACAACATTCTCGATTCTCCTCCACAAACAGGAATATCTCAATCACCAAAAAATGTAAGGCATAGGTTGGACTTACAGCATGACGCAGCAAAAAAACCATTCATTGAGCGAGTGTATATATCCAGGTCACCAGATATTTTTCATCCAAGCGAAAAAGCGAGGCGTGCAAAACATGCATTGCATTGAGCAAACAATGAAGTTCAAATATTGCCATCGATCACACTTCTGTGATTATTCTCCCTCCTCAGACTTTGTACTAAAATTGATGTTTTCTTGTGAGAATGTAATTGCTACAGTATTTCCTCCAATATTAAACTATAATGCAGGATAATTACCTCATTTAGAAAATGTTTATAAATATCAAATTGAGGTCGATCAATACAGCACATTTGCAAACTATTCAGTTCTTTTTGTTCATGTAATTCATAATTTGGTCATTTAATTTAAAAAAACTTGTGGGTAGCCTGAATATTTTTTTGGGATGAATATATAACGATTGTATTAAGTTTGTGAGACATGTTCATATACTATCAATACATATGTTTAGATTCCATATGTTCAGAGACATCTTAGAGGGGAAGATGGATAGTGAACGTGAAAGAGGAAGACTTAGAATTGGGTAGGTGTCAGATTTGATAGGTGACAGATCATTATGACATAAAGAAGAAGGAGACTAAATAATAGATAGGGATAGAACTAAAGAGGGATCTGGTGTGGTTCTAACCTAGGCGGAACACAAGAGAGAGACATACATACATAATATATATATATTTATTTTAAAAATATATTCTGAAATAGGATATAAAGTTAAGCAATAACACGAATTTAAAACCATCAAATAATGTAATATATAACTAACAAGCAAAAAATAATAACATAATAAATCAGACTGGGTTCCTTTAATGAGACTTTTCAAAATCGGAATAAATAACAGTTAATTTCAAAGAAATTATTATTTTTTTCTTCAAAAAATTGCGAAAATAATTACCACTAACTTCCTTATATGTTCATCATGCAAATGCAAAACGAATTGCTATTCATTAGAATAGTTATTTTGACCAGCTTATTTAGAGATTATATGCTGCCGTTATCCGATAATTCTCTAGGATGTAAAGTACCAAATCCTTTAGATGACAGTATTGTGTTATATTAAAAACAGTGTAATCTCTAGTTAATATCCTCACTGGAAAATATTAATCCAGATGTCCTTATGTATAAACAATATTACATCGTGTCATGTTGTTATACGATGTATACGTTAACGAAAGGGGAAATCGATATCCCAAAACAGATGTGATCAATACTGGCATGACATTAGCCACTTCCCTCTGTGCACTAGTCGTCTGAAAGTACTAGACTATCAACTTCGCATAATATGCGCCGTTTGCACCGCATCGTTTGTTTTCATACCAGTGCAATTATTATCCTCTATTTACCCTCGTTTTTTTCCTCTCTTGAATTGCAAAAAATTGTATATATATATTCATGAAAGGCGTACAAAACCCTTCACTCTGCTCCTGCCTGTGTTCAGAATTAGTCGTGTATCTTCGATTGCTGCTGATAATAGTTTATATTTAAAACATCGCTCTCAAAACAGGTAAGAAAACATTTTCAATAGCGCTATGTGTATGGGAGAGATACATTGCTGGCATGATGATGATGTGGCTCTGGATTTTGGAGAGATCTATTTTACTGTGTATAAAAATACTAACAAAATTAAAGTCGTTGTCAAAATATCAAATTTTATCAATCGACCTTCTTTGTTGGATGTCCTTATTACAAGCTTAATTCAAGCTTACGACGATCCATTCATGTATATTTGAATTGATATATAATTGATGATTTATGTGTGATTATGTACAACTACATGTATTTAAGTATGTGAATCAAATCACAATCTAATCAAACAATGCCCATATTAGGGGCTAAGGAGCGAGTCAGTGTCTTGTGTGGCTGTATCTCTCAGTTATATTGATTAACAAGTATTTAATGAAAAAAATATATGTCATTATGATTCGTTAATAGTTAACTAAAACTGACAAAGATTAATGATAAAGGCCATGAAATTCAATTGTTGAGGTCGCGCCTCCTGCTGGTCGAAGAATTTGTTGAACAAATACACTTCAGATTCTGATTCAGATTCAGATTTGTGTTTCATTGAAAAACAACAACAATATATACAGTCAAACCTGTCCATAAAGGCCACTCAAGGGAAACAGAAAAAGTGGCCACTGTAGGCAGGTGGACTCTCTAGACAGGTTCTCCAACACATATTTCTTTCTCAAGGGAGACAAAATACCTTGCCACTATAGACGGTTGGCCTTTATAGAGAGGTGGCCACTAAGAGGATTTTGTTGCAATACATTAAATAATACAGTCACCATCAGACTTGCTATATGAAATATTCTTTTGAGTCGTCATGATGTTATTACTCTGAAATACTTTGCTCTGTCTTCCAATAGTAATCAATTGTCACCATCCCACTTGATTGACTGTGTATAACCATAACCATCACAACGCGTGAAATTATAGACATGTATTTCACTGCGTTATAATAAAAGGTTTAGAGTATAATATTTTGTTTTGACAAATGTAAATATTGTTTGCAGAGAGCCATAATGCCGGGGTAATAATATGAGTGCAGTGCCCTCAAGGATAACAGTATTAATACGGATGAGGCTACCTGGGTAAACAAGCAATATTATTATTATTATAAATTGTTCCCTTTACATCACTGAAAAGTCAGTCTTTTTATTTATTATTATTTTTGCATGGTTGTAAATCTATTAGGAGTGAGGCATGCAAACTGCCCGTAGCCTCCTTTAAATACGCTAACGGAGTTTGTACAAAATATACTCAAAGCTCGATTAATGATTCAAAAATGTCTTATGTCAGCGGCGAAACAATCGGAGGGTCAAGTCGGGTCGGATAAATTCATCCCTTTGACTATTCATTAATTCTTGAATTAGCTACGTTTCTAATCATGTGACTTATTATAAACTCAACACACGTCCTCTAGTTTATATCTGGAGAAAATAACAAACGAGATATTACACTTTTATTGGTATCTTACTCCTAACATTATTGATTTTATTTCCTGTCAATTTTTCCTTTGTGATTCCTCAGAAACCAAGATGGCACCACGCGTAGCAATCATCACTGGATGTTCCTCTGGCATCGGTCTCTCTACGGCTGTCATGATGGCTAATGACCCCGCCAAAGGCTACATTGTCTACGCCACTATGAGGAACCTGGCCAAAAAGGGCGACCTGGAAAAGGCAGCGGGGGCTACGCTGAACAAGACACTGTTCATCATCCAGCTTGATGTGACCAAAGACGATTCCATTAAGCGAGCTGTCAAAGATGTCTTCACCAAGCACAAGCGTATTGACATTCTGGGTTAGTTCAGTATAATTATAATTATATATATATATATATTTATATATATATATATAGATATATATATATATATAGAGAGAGAGAGAGAGAGAGGGAGAGAGAGAGAGAGAGTGAGAGAGAGAGAGAGAGAGAGAGAGGCGGACGGGGCGGGGGTGAGCTCTACACTGCTGACTGTGGCATACCTTACTTAAGGAAAATAAACCAAACTTTTTCAAAGGGCACCTGGAAATTCTGCTAACTTTTTATTTCTTTTCAGAATGTTGTCTGGAGCTGAGCCCCCTTTAGGGGATGTGGGAGGTGGCGGGGGGGGGGGGGGGCGGGGGTGGGGCGAAGAACATGGTCATACCCATATACCAGTTTCGAAGAACAAAGTATGTCATAATCTGCGCTTTCTATCTTAACCCTCTCCATATCAAGTTGCTTGATCCAACTTGGGTAAATTTACATATTTGCCAAGATTATTCAAGAAGCAACTTTTTCCATTTGCACTGAATCCCAATATTTGATTTGGATTTCATACAAATGACCTGTCAATCAAACTCTCTATGTCAAGTACATTTATCGTTGGTAATATTCCTCGAGATATTAAGAGACGCGGTATGAAACGACACTTTGTTTGCTTTTAAAAAGTAAATCAACATAGTGAGTATGCGAGAATGAGTGCTGCAGCAAGTTATTACAGGTAGATAAGGGGGTACTAAGGGGTCGGTGAATGGAAAGGGTGGCTGCGCTCCACTTCCTTCGTTTACGCTTTTACAAATGAGCACGTTACTACCTGTATTAATCACGTTGCACACGATGCGTCATTTATCTGGCGCAGGGCTGCGTCAGTGACTGGTGGGGTCTTTTACGCGCAATGTCAGAGTGACATCATACAAGAAAAAGCGATTGCAAATGGGCATTTTTTAACGATTCTGTTTATAAATAGAGTAGTCCTATGTACAGCTGATGTATGGGCTAATTGTCTGCACGGGCTCGATTAGCGTGTACATGTAAGTACCGACGTAATTGAAATGACAACCCTTGTGTAACACCGGGCTTTACCTTCTTCTCATCCACAGTTAATAACGCAGGCCATGGCTCATCAGGCTACATCGAACTGGTCACCGATCAACAGATGCGTGCCTTGTTTGACACCAACTTCTTCGGCGTGGTGCATTTGATCCAAGAAGTGCTTCCCATCATGAAGAAGCAACGTTCAGGTCGCATCATCAGCGTTAGCAGTGTGGCCGGTATAACAGGTATAGAATGATCACACTAGTCACTAGATGCTAATTTGACACTAATTTAGTTGTATTTATTCATACACGGTAACAAAAAGTGACAGCAGTGACAAAACTGGTTTCAAATGCCGAGAATACATGCATTTAATATTATAAGTCTGATTAAACATATTAATAATTTATACCCTATTTCATAAAGTATTGAGTTAAACCTATCTCTTCTGTCAGTCCCTGGCTGTAGTACAGGGCATATGGAGTGATGTATCACATGCGGGGAGGGAGGAGGGGGAGGGGGAGGGGGGTGGTGGTGTCAGACCAAATTAACAAAGGTCTATCAACTTCTGCGATTTTCCGACAAGGCTAGATGAACAATCCACCCCCTCACAGACACACTGCCTGATTACGCTCTGATAATGGTTCTGCAATTTAGCAGATTGATTCAAAAGATTTGTTTAGATAATATGAGGGCCCTTATTCTTTGATTTTTTTAAAATTCTGTTTCATGATATAGCCTGGCCTTTTGGGGAGATCTACGCTGCCTCCAAATTCGCACTTGAAGGTTTCACCGAGTCACTTTCCATTGGCTACAGACCATTCAATATCTGGTGAGTTAATATTATTACGTACATTGCGTCCCAGAAAAAAACGAAACCGAGAATTATCGATGTTTTATCATAGCTTAATCACAATCATTATTAATAAATGACACATTTGTAAAGATTAGATCCTCTTCTTTCACTCGATGTAACTCATATGATGCATAATTCACGCATTAGTGATTAAAAACAATTTGAAGAGAGGGTACCAACAAGTCATTTAGCGGGCGGTATCTGAATTTCAAAGAGAAAATCATATTTGTAGAAAGTTCATTTTCTGCCCTTTCATATGACACCTCAGTCAGGAAAAATGAGCCAGGAAAGACTAAGTTCTGTTTGTTTAAAGTAATGCTTGCATATCATATTTTGATTAAACGAATCCGTTTTACTGGCTGCCTGCCGTAGCAACACACCGAGTTGATAAAAGACTTAACTCTGTTTCGTTGACGATCAGCTATGCACAAAGAAGACGAAAGACTGAAAGTTTGTTGCTACGGCAGGCAGCCAGTGAAAACGAATTCGTGCAATCAATCCAACCCACGGGTGATGAATATAACAATAAAATCATATTAGAATGATGTTTCTTCTGACGTTGATTTACAGGGTGAGCAGCTGTCAACCAGGTCCAGTGAAGACTGCTTTCATTGCCAACATGGGATCAGCCAACAACCAACCCGAATTTCTCAAGCTCACTGAAGAGAAGAACATCGACAAAGAGTCCAAAGAAGTGTGTGGAATGATCATCAATCGACTTGTTAACAGTCCAACCTTTGAGGAAGAGCAACAAACTCCCGAAGAAATCGCCAGCGTCATCAAAGGTGGGGGAAAGTTCGGGGTTCGGGGGAGGGGAGGGAGAGGGGCTTTCATTAGGGTTCCTTAGACTAGGGGCCTATGCTAATATTCTATGACCAATTTAGTCTTCACCAATCAAATGCAATGGTTTTAGTAGCTTATGTAGTAACTTATACATTGATAACCATTTTCATGAAATGAGAAGGAAGTCGGGCAAAATTTCTGCCGACGAAATAGATTCTACGAACAAATTGAAAAGATACATGCATTTGGATTCTCATTTCAGGAATTTTTTCGATTTGAAAATTGAAACTAATTTGGATTTTGGATTTGCAGACATAATTTGTTTAAAGGGGTCATACTTATGCTTATCACTTATACATTTATTTATTTAAATATTATACAGGAAGCGTTTTCGATAATGAGTATTGCCCTTCCGAGGGGTTCTGTTTGTACAAAAATATGCAAACTTAACATGTAATTTGATTAATGTAAAACAATAGAGCAATACAAGGAGAGGTGTCGTGGACGAGTGGATATGTCACCGGACTGTGGATCACAAGGTTCGCGGTTCAAGTCCCACCGCGGCACTAATGTCTTTTGGCAAGACATTGATCTACATTTGCCACTCTCCACCCAGGTGTTAAATAGGTACCCGGTAGGATGCGGAAGCTAATGTGGTTAGATTAGCATGTGTGCGCTTGTAAAAAAGACGCCTGGCTGGAATGCTCCCAGGGAGTGGAGAATGTGCATACATTGTGTGCGGGTAAGCCTGAATCCTATGACCGGGGTAATAATATATACATCTGTAAAGCGCTTTGAGAGGGCCTCCGGTCCTGAAAAGCGCTATATAAGAACTAGCTATTATTATTATTATTAAGACGATATATTATATTTCCTAACATTTCCCTTTTTGCTTTTTTTTCTGGGAACCAGGAGCCCTTGAAGATGAGAAACCTCATCTTCGCTACGCCACCAGCAAACTTCGCCTGGACTACGCCAAGAAGTATTTCGTGGACCCTACGGGGGATACCTTTTGCGACACCATCGTCCCACACATCATCCCTGACTCACTCAAGCAGAAGAAGTAGATCATAACCTCAAAAAATACCTTAAAATACCTCATAAACTAATCAACAACAAAAAGACCAGTAGCAGTAATAGGTCTATGTAGAGTATAACATTGATATTTGTTTTAAATATGAAAGCCAATGGTATGAGCAGGCATCAATAAATCATTACCTCATGATTTTTTTTGAATAATGACAGCCAGGAGCAGAAAATTACACTATGAAACTCTTTGATTTATGTAAAACTGTTTGTACATTTTGTTAAGTTTTGTTTTGTATTTATGTTGTATCCTCATAGAAATTATAAAATTTAAAGATATTAGTTTTAAAATATACTAGGATACTCTGTGCCGCAGGTAAAACAGGCTGTACAATTTTTTTTTATTTTCCCTTCTACAAATGCAAGTATACGCACAAATATGAGCATTAGAAGAAGAAAGAAAATCAATGGTGTTTTATTGATACTTTGCCATTCACAAGACATATTCCATGGAATAATACAATAAATCTTTCGCATAATTGATGCATATATATATATATATATATATATATATATACATGTATATATCACCCACAAAGTATAATAAATAACGTTTCACTAACAGCAAAACGATGTATTTACCTGTGCATAAACAAGAAAAACAAGCCCAATATTGATTGTTTTAAACAGATGCTTTTTACTTCGTATAATGAAGATTAATATATAGTGTATTGCAAATCGAAAAGGCAAGTTGTTATTTCACCATAGAAAATTGAATACAAACCAAGAACGGAAAAGTCCACTGAATAGCTCTATTCAGTGCCATTAATATAATGGTCACGTTCTTCATTAAGGGCTACTGGATAACTGCAATTTCAACATGTACATGCAAGAACGAAATTAATGCTGTATCCTATGTATTATAAATGAATAAATTAAAGTAGAAAATGAAATTGAGCAAGAATGCGTCTTTGTTCAAGAAGCAGCATTTTTTGTTTGAATGACATTCCTGATGATGGTTTATTCTTACCATGCAAGAGATTTATAACCTGATATATATTTTCATATTATTAGGTACATTTTTTTTAATAATAGTGAAAGAGAGCGAGAAAAAAAGTGGAAGAGAAATAGAATGTGAGAAAGGGAGAGAGATAGAGAAATGAAAGAAATAGAAAGAAAGAGAGTGATACAGAGAGAGGGGGAGAGAGATAGATAGAAAGAGAGAGAGAGAGAGAGAGAGAGCTACCGGGAGAAATGTATAGATATGAAGAGAGAGAAAGAGGTATAGAGAGGGAGAGACACACAAAGATACAGAGATAGAGAGAGAGAGAGAGAGAGAGAGAGAGAGAAAAGATTCGCATACACACACACACACACACACACACACACATATATATATATATATATATAGAGAGAGAGAGAGAGAGAGAGAGAGAGAGAGAGAGAGAGACTGGTTGTTGAACATACTGACCACCGTCATTCTATACAATTTTTAATGGTGAGAAATGGATTGAAAAAAATTAAATCCGACATCATCCTACTCGATACAGATTAAATGCCCATTCAAAGGTGAAAATGATCTGATCAAGCAGATGAAGAATTCTTTGAAGATTATGCACGATTAATAAAAGACTGTTTCACCTAGTCGAAGTTTCGGAATTGCCAGATGCTACAAGCTAAAAATCTAATTAACTTGAGAGAAGATAGTAAGTTGATAGAACTGTTCTTTAAGTCCCTAATTCAGAGTGTCCTAACCTTCAACCTAATTTGCTATTATGCAAACGCTAAAATTGTTGCCAAGAAACTACTCGAACGTCCCAGAAAGGCAGCAAAACGTATCACAGGAGCCGATCTAACATCCATAGAAGATCTGTATCAGAAAAATGCCCTCTCTAAAGAAAAACAAATAATGCATGAACCCTCGCACCCACTGAATGAGCATTTCAATTATAACAGATCTGGAATACGCCTGTGCACACCACGAACTCAACGTGCACGTTTCCGAAGATCCTTTATCCCCGACTCTATTCATCTTTTCAATTCCAAAGCAAAACGTGTTTGATTACTATGAACTTACCATGTCAATGTATTAATATCAATGTAATATAATATAAATTTCAAATATATGCCATGAATATTGCATCCAACTATCAATTACCGTTTGAGCCAGTAACTACAATCTATGTGTCATCAATAAACTTAACAATAAAAACGATGCCCATAATAATTATACTACTCAAAATGGTAATCGATAATAATAATAATAATAATAATAATAATAATAATAATAATAATAATAATAATAATAATAATAATAATGATACAAATGACAATAAAAATGATTTATGTATTTATTATCATTTTAAGATTTACTATGAAATAATCATTGATATTAAATAATTCAGCTTCATATTTTGTAAAATGGAATCTGATATTACCTCTTTAACCACCATATATACTGTGGCTTACATATATATTACCTCATCTATTGTATGTTTATCATATGTGTATGTTTATCTCTGTCATGTAATATTTCATTTATATATCTGTATCGCAATACTCTGTAACCAGTGGAAAACAAATTTCCTGAAAAGGACAATAGACTATTATACTTATACTTATACAAATAGAATAAGCAAACAAACGATTAAGTTTATAGAACAAACAAACAAATTTGAAATGTTACATAATTATAAAGCTAATCATGAGTAGAATAAACAAGGCAATTAGCTAACAAGCTAATTACGAATAAAATAAACAAGGAAACATTAAGCAAATTGAATTTGCAAAACAATTTGAAATGTGACATATAAAGCTAAATATAAGTATAATTAACAAGCTTATTAGCTAAAAAGCTAATTTCAAATAGAATAAACAAACACATTTGAAATGTTACATATAAAGCTAATTACAAATAAAACTGATACGATTGCATAAATGGATGAAAGGTCAAATACCAAATATCTAGCAAGTTGGGGGAGGGGGGGGGGGGGGTAGTGAGCACTTTTTTGGCCCTCGAAAATTTGAAAATTTGCACCCGCCCCCCCCAAGCTAAAAATCACTTGTTTTTACATGTTTTTTTCCAAAGGGGGGGGGGACGGCCCCCCTGGATCCGCCACTGGTGGTATGTGTGGGAAAGTGGGGGGGGGGGGGGTCTCGCACATGATATCTTGTCTTTTGGCAATTGTCTTAGGGGATTATTTTTCCTTGGGGGTAATTGTCCTAGGGGTTAATTTTCAAGGGGGGGGGGGGTAATTGTCTTTGGGGTGCTTGACCGGGGGTAATAGTCCTCGGGGTGGTTGTCCAGGGGTAATTGTCCCCGCGGGTGGTTGTCCAGGGGTAATTTTCCTTGCGGGTGGTTGTCCAGGTGTAATTGTCCTCGCGGGTGGTTGTCCAGGGTTAATTTTCCTCGCGGGTGGTTGTCAAGGGATGTCCTCGGGAGTGGTTGTCCAGGGATAATTGTCCTGATACGCATCTTATCACTTCACATCAAATACATGTTATCAAATACCACATCACATGATAATAATCATATTATATCACCACACAGCACATCAAATCACATCACAATGAATGGATTTTCTGGTGCCTCATCATGCTGTTAGTCCAACATTTCGCTTACATTTTTAGGTGACTGCAGTTATTATTTTTTTTGAGAGGAGAATGTTCTTGAAATTTTAAGATCGCTAAAAAATGCAATTGCATGGTAATTGCGAAAGTCAGTGGCGTATGTGTACTGATTGTATTGTGTAAGTATATGCTCTGAATCAGATATTTGGGCACAATGGGACTCCTTCAGCTGTAGTGACTGGTGATTGCTACATGCGTGTCTGCATGTTTCCCTGAATGGACCTAAATATTATGATGGAAAGGCAACCATTCATCCTTTCGTTCAGCAGCCTTTCAACGGAAAATATTTCCCATAGAGAGTGGTTTCATATATAGCCCGAAATATGACGCCAACTTTCAGCTTGAGCTACTCTAGATAGAGATAACAATCCAAACCCTGGCCCTGACCCGAATATGGCTCGATTTGCATTCATGCTACTTTCCAGTTCCTTTTATCCTTTTATGTTGCCATAACTGTTTATACCTACTGTTATGCGTTTCAATATCACTTTATCAACACTCATATATATTTCATCAAGTTCAAGCTCATTTCCATCATGCGTTTCAGAGAAGCTATCAGTAATGATCAACAATACATTATATTAAGACAACAGGATGCAGACGTTTATTTTTAAAACTATGATACATTAGATAATGGTTTTGCACCAAAACATAAACAGTGATACATTATGCCTAAAATTTCCAGGCCAGACAGATTACAGAAATTAGTAATTACTACATGTGATTATTACTCATTGAAAACCGTTAATAGTTTTACAGTCCTACCGTGTTTTGTTTTCTCTGATTACCTATGATATCAAATTATCATTACTGACTAGATGTTGTGGTTACAATTAACACTGTTTGTTCTTTTGTCTTTATGTCATTACATGTTAACATAGTTTATATTTGTTTAGCAATGTAAAAATATTTGAACCATTTTCTGTTCTGAAATTACAAAAAGGGTGTTCTGTATTACTTTCCCCGATACAAAAGATGACAATCTTGATACCAATGATTTCAGAAGAAACCTAATTTTCAGTGGGGACAGTGATGTATCCTGCAAGGGGATCAGCAGTAGTAAGACTCCCTTATAGAACCACTCCCAGCTTTCGACCCTTCTTCCCTCTTTACCATTGCACCCTTAGCATTGGTGAGGGCTCTTGCCTTCCATACAAGAGATCACAGGTTCGATCCTCGCTCGGTGCTTGCATCCTTGGACAAGATGTTTTGCCTTCATTTAGCCTCTCTTCCCAGGTAAAAATGGATACCTGTTAATGCTGGGGTAATGATTGTAGGGTTCACAGTAGGAGCAGCGATACTCATGTGGCGACCCTGATATTTCGCCAAGCATAACCTTGAGTATATACATAGAGGGCGCTGTCATAGCTGCGACCGACATTCTTTTCTCTGTTTCTCTTCTGTTAATTTCATCTTTTCTTCAAGATTTGCTCTATAATCACAATCGTTCTTTCGTGATGTTTTTCCCACTTCAACTTATTAATCAATTTTTAAATCCACTGATTTTTATATGATACAATGGGAACCAAGTACTGTTAGTCTTAGGACTTTTTATTTGGT